ATAAAAAATGGTCCTTTAATTATCAAATTGGAATTTCTCTACAATAGCACTAAAAAGTATCTTTTAGTGTCTTAAACTTACAATTATCAATGAAAATTCATTTAAAAGTTTGACTCAATGGTAAACTATATTGATGAAGTCTAAACAAGTTAATTACCTCCTGTATACATAAATACACACTGTTGTTGTTTTACAGGCTTTTATAGTCATTCATTATATTCATGGTTTCTTATATTTTGTATTTACATGCTTGCATCAACTACCGTTACAGTGAGAACCAGAAACATCTGGAATTAGAAGACGACTTTCAGACTCAAGTTATGGCTTTAAATACTGAAACGAACATGAGACATAGACATTGTGCAGTGTAAACAGACCCATTTCAATATATTAAAAATTTACTAACAAATCTATTTGTTTTGTAACAACATCAAATATACACTTGATTTATTTCTTTAATGGCGTCCTCCTATTCCACAATTGTCTGGTTCTCAGAGTAGATATATTTTTAGTTTCTACAATTTTACTTCGATTTATTTTATATTTTCTTATTTCAATCCCTTAATTAAATATTGTTTTAATAGCGTAGAATTTTTTTCTTCAATCTTTTTTTTCTTAATCTTNAGTAGCAATTATGTGTCTTAAAAATATAAAATTATCCTTTCAGATGATGCCCAGTATCCTAAAGCCGGGTTTTACTTGTTGTAATCAAATTTGTGATATACAGTACATATTTTGGGAAAGGGAATACAAGAGGTAATATGACAACTTTTGTATTATTTTAATTGACATTTTTCAAACACTTCTTTCTTGCGATTGCACGTTTTGTTGATACACCATATCTTGACCTGACTTAATCCTGGTCTCACGAACCATATAGTTCAGGATTAGCTTAGGATTACTTCACCCTGAACACTGAACACTGAACATATCTTTACAATAGTCTGCTGAATATCCAGAGATAAGCTCCGTTTTACAGGACATGGTTCACAGATAAACTTTAGTCTGGAGATCTCCTGGTTGTTTAATGTTTATGAGCAGTAAATGGTTCTTGAAATGTTTCTCCGTGACGTGTAAAGTTTTAGACGCCAACAATGTCTCCAACCTGACACAGGATGAGTGCAAAAACTTCCTCGCTTAACCAATGAAGGAACACAAAAAGGTCTCCGATGAAAGGAAGAGGGAACTATAAAAAGTGTTCCAAATGATGATTAGGAAATGGTTTCAGGTTAGGTTGGGATTGGTTTGAGGTAAGCTTGATTTAGTATAGTATTGCTTTAAGATCAGACTATTAAACCTGTGTCTGCAAAAAATCTATCTTCTTCAATCTTAAGATTGGTCATTTTCAATTGTGCAATTTGTGCATTAATGCAGCGGGAGAATAAGTAGGAAATTGTCAAAATACAACAACTTGCAACATAGAAGATACTACCTTGCAAGATATGCATACATGCCATTCTATTAATGAAGAGTTACTTGAAATTATATACATCTTAAGTCCCTTTCTAATTTTCTTAATTTCATTATTATGTCTCTAATTTGTCTTGTTAATTTTGTTGTGTCGTCATCATGAATTTCTTGCTTAATCATTTCCAATAGTAAATAACTTCTACGTCTGGGCATTGATTTTCAAAACGCAATCTCATTCTGATAAACTAATTATCATTAGGTTTATCAGAGATTGAAAAGTTCGTTAGGAACCTTCTCATTTTTTACCCCTAAGTCCCCCANATTTTATTCATTGTGTTGCCCCCCCCCCCGGAACTAAAGTTTTTTCATGGTTTCCGAAAAAAATCAGCTGAAATTTTAAAATCGTTTTAAGTTTGCACTCTTTCGGGAAAGAAACACTTTGTAGCAAACCATTTAAACGCCTGAAGATCTGTTTGCCTATATTTAACTTGAAAACTTGAGAAAACTTTATAATTGGAAATTTTTTCTCAAAACAACATATATTAAAAAAGTAAACCTTCACCCTTTTCTTAAATCTTGAACCGGATTCCTTTCCTAAACCTAGGAAAGTGAACATTCTCCCTGTTCTTAAACCTATGAAAGGGAACGTTCTACCTGTTCTTAAACCTATGAAAGTGAACCCGCTTTGTGTTCTTAATCACTGAAAGTGAACGTTCTCTCTGTTCTTTAACCTATGAAAGTGAACCCGCTTCCTGTTCTGAAACCTATGAAAGTGAACGTTCTCCCTGTTCTGAAACCTATGAAAGTGAACCTGCTTCCTGTTCTGAAACCTATGAAAGTGAAATTTCTCCCTGTTTTTTAACCTATGAAAGTAAACCTTCTCCCTGTTCTTAAACCTAGCTATGAAAGTAAACCTTCTCCCTGTTCTTAAACCTATGAAAGTAAACCTGCTTCCTGTTCTTAAACCAATGAAAGTAAACCTTCTCCCTGTTCTTAAACCTATGAAATTAAACCTTCTCCCTGTTCTTAAACCTAAGAAAGTGAACCTGCTTCCTTTTCTTAAACCTATAATATCTTGATATTAATATTGTCTATGGGGTTCATAGATAAGAACAGAGAGGTTAAGAAAAGGGGTAATGTTTATGAGCAGTAAAT